CAATTAAATATATCTTAACCATAACATTACCTAAAGCAAACAGAATATGCTATATTCAATTGATTTTGTCATCGATTTCCCACGAACCGACTTCGGTGATCCCGTAATTTTCTCCATCTATATTTAATATTGAATAGCATTCAATCTTAAGCGAACATCCGGCATCGGTCCTTGAATCTCGCTTTTTTTTGTTCAACGAAAAGAATGGAACACACCTCCGGTGGGAGCATCTTGAATTGTCAAGGAGGAATATCCGAACGGAACAACACCGTGCAGGCGGACGATAGGTGGGAGGGGAGAACACTGTTTACTGATGGAGTTTCTTCGCAACATACAGCCCAAATTCCCAATCTTGAAGCCATAAAACGTACAATTTCACAAAAACAACTCACGGTATATACCTTGGCCGATCAATCAATATATATATATTTTTAAATAATCGATGTATTAGTAATATGGAACATTGTAGGTAACTCATAAATTTCGACACCCTGTCATCAAACTGTCTATAAAGGTCAGAGGTCATACGTTATCATCATTAGTTAAGGTAGAATGTTTACTGTACATTTTTTGGTTGGTAATTTACGTTAGTGACGGAGGTTACAATCAGCATTGCAACCAAGGCACAGTAGGGTTTGAAGGAGCTCATCAAAATATGGGACAGTCAAGTTTATTTGGTCTGTTGCCAGGAACGGTTGCCAAGGCCACGGCATTTCTAAGTGCTTTGGTGTGCATGCTCCAAGATGAACATATATTCCTCTACACGACAAGGGACAGGATCTGGAATCGTAAACGCAAATCAATGGCAAGTAGGAATTATTTAATATTTTTGAGATCTGGAATCTGAATATAATCATCCATAAAATCAATAATATTTACACTAATAATATTCTAGAACCCAGAGTAATTGACTAAACGATTAGATAGCCAAGTCAAGCACGTCATTATACAGGAATCATCTGTGATTATTACTGTTATCTTTGTGGTAGACAAAGCATGACATTGACAAGAGGCCATGTTATTCAAAACAAAAGTAGAAGTTGACGCTGCACTTGTGTTAGCGCATGCATACGTGACAATGATGTAACAATCTTTGGACAGTCTGGTACGATGAGTACAAATATCTGTATATGGAAGATTTATGTTCAGCTTACTGAAATTTGCATGTATTTACGTTTTATGAGAATATACATGTAAATTAATGACATTAAAGTTGTATTTATTTTCTCATGTCATTATAGAATTCGTGTTAAAGGGCGGAAGTCGTCGCGCTGCGCATGTGCGACATTTGTGTTGATAAAAATTGATTTTCCCACAAGTATGAGGTTTGACCTGGGCGCGACTTGCACTAATTACCGCAGGTGACTCCTTCGAAACATTCCAATCACCTAAAAAATACTTAATTAAAGCTTGGTATCGTCTCAGTTTATACTCATTGATCTGCGCAACAGCGAAAGTCGCCATCCCATCTTTGTTTATACAATGAGACCCATATATCTCGCGCAAGCGTGGCGCGACGACAAACAATAGCCAACTTCAGCGATGTTTTGCTGAATACACCTTACATGTAAGTCGCACTGTCTAGCAACGAACCGCTTCGGTGACGTAAATGTGTCACGGCAAACGAATACGCCGAAGGCGCCGCTCAAAGGCACAATGTATTCGACGGGCCTTTTAGTTGAAAGTGTTTACCACGCTCTTTGCGTCATGAATGACAGTTTTACAAACAAAAACTAAAAAATGACCATTCCATATTATTGTGTTACGTTATTGCCATGTGTTCTGCATTCTGTCATTCAAAATAACACATTTTTTCTCACAATGCATCGCAGTCACGTGATTACGTATAGCCAATCACGACGTTTCTAGTTCACTCTGTTTCATAAAACTCATAATAATGTACATAAAATGAGTCCAATAAATCGTTCATTATTACAATTATACATATTTCGGCAAGTGCCACAAGACACGTTGTCATTGGTCACATTGAGTTGCCAAGGTAACAGTAATAATCAGTTAGGTTGAGATAAAAGGCGGTCGTAAAAAGTTGATAATTTTATTATTTTTAATAGACAAATGATTGAATGCAATAAACTGGTAAAAGAGTCGATATTTAAGCAAGAACAATACACTTACTATAATAAAATGAACAGTAGTAATAGATAGCGGTATATGTGCTCTTCTTGTAAAAGTGGGCCTCTACAGGAGAGTCGTATGTTTTGTATTATACGGCATTGTTATCGTGAAATTACAATTCCACAGGCGCAAATAGTACTTCAAGTTGAATCCTTCGGCTACCATCATATGATTGCATAGCATTCTACAACTAAAGATTATTTACCCTGTTATGAACAGACTCAAATTTATGCTGACCGACCAAAACACGAAATATGGGCCTGACAATAGAGACAATTACAAATTGGTTTCTCTTGTAAAAATGTCGCATCATACCTATAACAAGTTTGGTAACACGTGAAAACAAAGATATGTAATGTTAAAATGATTAATAAAAAATATGTTGTGTCCAAATTAATAACTATGTAGCAATTTTACAAAATAAAATAATATACATTTATTATTATCGGGTTGCCACAATTTGCAGTTGAATACCCCTGATGCGAACCAATCAGTTATGGAAATATTACTTTAATTTCTGTTTTCACACAATATTGTCTCATACTATCATATCAAAAATACTGATACTGCCCTTGACCCAACGTTAAGATTGCTACGGGACTAAATCACAACTGGAACGAACAGCTTCCTGTTTCAACGAAGTAAACAGATTTACACACAACTTTGTGTTTTATAGAATCGGTATTAACATTCACCCAACGGCTACAACTAAATTAATCCATGCAAATAATAACCACAGGCAGACGGCATTGTGGACTTAAAGGACTTCATCGCTGTATAATGTCAAGAACTAAATAGCGTGAATCACGTAGTTGCCAAAGTTGTCGCACATGCGCAGCGCGACGACTACCGTCCTTTAACCCCCAAATTCATACCAATAAAAAAACAACAACAAACAAACAAAAAACAAAAACGGCGAATGTAAGCGCCCTAATGTTAATCGCATGCATATAGCGTTGTGTTTTCTACGCATCACAATTTCATTGGTGGTATGTCGATATAGTACTAATGAATGTGCACTCAAGTTATATCGTCATTTAAGGGGGTCGATATGCACACATGTGATATTATTTCTTTATGTCACGGTCACTACTCTCCAGTTAGTTAGCACGATACCCAGATAAATACTAGCATTAATATACTGAAACTGTTAGTGTGAATACAGAGTATATTGTCACGGACTGCAGATAATAAAACAGAATATTTCTTGTCGTGGTTACGTTATAATTTATTATCAGTAAGTCTCCACTTTAGTTACTGGGCAGGCTGTCATTGAGTGTCAATATTCACATGACTACAGTAGCCAGGACCCAGGTTTAGTCCCATAAAGCACGTCTATTACGATGAGTGACCCCTCGACTCGTTAAGTTTGCTGAATTCAACTGAAATCTCCGTAGTCATGACAAATACATATAAGATCATCCAATTTACAGCTATGTCTTTGTAAAGCGTCTTCATAACGCCCACCGCCCATTTGACCCAGCGTCCTTCTTTTCTGTGTCCCCGACGGAATTGTTAAAAGTTGTCAACGCATTGTATAGTATGTATTATTATTATTACAATGCAATAGAACCATGCACGTTCTCAACTGTTTCGGGTTTTACAAACACTGTTGTTGTGTCCGTTATTTTAGACTGCAGACTGCAGTATATGTCTTGATACCGTACTAGAACGGCACACAGTTTTTATTATTGTTTACTCTGACTAAATCAGTAAACTTTACCGAGGTGATTTATTAACCGCGTGTTTGTGTTTTCTTTTCTTGTAATAGTGCACTGCCTACACATGACTGCCCTATTTTGATATCTTTAAAGTAAATGTGATATGTTGTCACATGACCCAGATAAAATAGTACACCGGCAGACATGGTCGCACTGACAGGTACGCATGGATAATAGTGTTGGTTTCCAACCACAGTGCCAATCAATTCACGGTTACTAACAAGATCGAAACAATCTCGGTGGATAATATATTAATACAATAAACAGATTGGTCAATGTGAAGCCTGGAGGGAATCGAATAATTCTCTGATCGACTTGACATACATACGTCTTCAAACAGTTCTTCAATTCGAACTGATATACGCAGTATATATTTGCGTAGTTCTTCAAAGTGAAAATATCGATTGTAGTCTTAGTGTAAATGGAATAACGAGTATTTGGAGCTCAATGGGCGCTAACAATAGTCAATATCTTTTAATTGCAGGAATCATTGAGAACTGACACCGCCCAGAGGGCCACACTAAGCGTCTGTGCGTCACACGTTTTGTTAGCGAGCTGCCAACACACCGTTGAACAGCGCTCGTTGTCAACAGATCGTCGAATCGTGCGTGACCTGTAAGGACCACAGTGGCCTTCCTTGGATTATAAACATCGTCTTCGACGAAACTATGTCTTTATCACAGGATGTGTTCGGTTATTTAAATTATTCGTCTTCTATTGGGCGATGAGAAGCGCCCCGTCGGTGAGTTGTTATAAACAATGTTATATTGTCCTACTCCAGGGATACCAGAGTATCGACAAAAACTGTATTCACTGCGATCGACCTCGTACCGGGGCAACGTTGTTCAAGTAGTGGAGTATTATATGTAGTATTATTGCGTCCAGTGGTTATTAGCCTGTAACAAGCCAAGAACGCTGGTCAAGTTGGTTGTGAGAATTTATAAGCAGGGACAGTGCCAATTAAGTTGGGCTTAGATTGGAGTACGATTTAAGCCTTAAGAATAATCGTTTTACCTTTTCACTGAACAGCGATCGATCGGAAAGTCTAATCATAGACAGACTTGATTTATCGATTCACACCAACAGCTTCAATTTTATCAGTCAATTGATGTGAATCCCACCCCAGGTGTCGAGATTCGTAACATGTCAGCCATGAAGCGGAACACCATTAAGCAGAAATACTTAGAGCGGTCGGACGTTGCCACGACAATTTTACAGCGTAGCCGCACAAGCATGTCGTCGAACGGGTCGTTCATTCCGGAAATACAGGACTTTGAGTCGCAGTTCCAGTTTGAGCTGGGGAAAAGCTTCTTCGATAAAGCGGTCGTGACAGCGAAACGCAACTACACCATAAACAATGCGTGTAAATCGGATGATGTTCAGTTGTCGTCAATGTCGGAGTTGAGTACGGACGGTCAAAGTTGGGGATATCATGATTTATCGACGGACAACACAGGCTCGAGTAAATCATTGGACGGCGAGTTGTTACAGCAATGGGACGACGATAACACAACTAATTTTGCGGAGTACATAATAAACGGAATCCTGGATCCAAGGATCGTTGCCAGGAAGAAGAAATTGAAAAGAAAACAACTTGAAGAAAAAGCGAAAAAAAGTGTGATACCACGTGACCAAACTGATGATGACATGCAAGAGGAATCAATAAGTGAATTACATACTAGTATAGAGAAAATCGAGCTTAACGGTGAAAATATTGAGTTTGTTACCGAGCAACCACGGGAATTTACCGAAAATGAAAAAGCTGCCGGTACATGGGACTCTAATAAGTGTGCAAATGGTGATACCGTTAGCGAGGCTAAAAATGGAGATACTATTGGACTGGAGACTGATGGACAACAAACCCCAAATAACCGTGAATCAAATTTAACGGAAGAACAGATTAAAGAACCTATCAACAATGATTCTTCAGAAAATCAGTCGAGCGAAACTATCGTTGATATTAAAACCAGCGTTGTGCAAAACAGTTCATCTGAACCATTACTGATGGCCAATCAACAAAGCGAGGGGATTGTTGTCGGTGATAAAGCAACTTGTGATGCGCCTATAGGTGACGCTGGTGGCACTGTTAAGGAAGACGATACCAAGTCGGGAGTTGATGGATCTGAAACCACAAGTGTCGGAAAACGGTCAATCAAAAGCGGTCGATCGTCGGGAAAAGGCAAGAAGGTCACTTTTGAAGAGAAGAAAAAAGGGAAACCGAAATCGGCAAAAAGTGCTAAGGGAAAAAAGGGTAATGACAAAAAGGGAGGGAAGAAAGATAAAAAGGGAAAAAAGAAAAAATCGCCAACACCTCCTCCTGTAGTTGTCCCTGATACAATTATTGAACCAGAACCACTTGCGCAACCATCTGAAGAACTTTTTAATAAGCCAGATGTGGAACCCTCTGAACCGCAAGAGCCACAAACGATTATTTTAGACGAACCACCAAAATATTGCCTTTATACGGAGTACAAATCAAAGGAACAAATGGTTCGAGAGTGGTTGTACGCCAGTAACACTAACGGCGCTATTCGAACTTTACCAATCCTTTAATACGACCAGCCCTTCAATCGCCGCATGGCTGATAAATTCATTATGTTATACACTTATGTACATTTTAAATTTATTTTCGTTAATCTCAGTAATTAGTTCCGTCATAAAATGACGAATTTATTATTCTTAGTATAGCGCATCGAATACCTTATTATTGCACCGAATTCATGACTTTTAAATATAGCACTGTATTAACATGATGTAAGATGTGAATAATCTGATGACGTGTTTAATACTATAAATTATGTCGTGTATAACACATCCACTATATAACGTCAGATCTGCTAACTGCGATGCCCGATTTAATTTGATTCATATATGCGGAAGACGGCTTAGGGTAATTCACAAATCAACTTATCAAAATTCAAATATTCCAAGAGGAAAGAACAATTCACACAGATTGTAATGACTATTTTGTATTAATTATTATTGGCGTTGGCGTAATTAGAACAAAGGGAGTTTGATGTACGCTGGTTTGGAATATTAATAATAATAACTCTTTTTATGCAGAGTAGACGCTCGCAGTCCACATTTTCTGCACACATACGAACTGGCAAGATGTAGATCGATCGTCTCTGCCACAACAAATTCGAATTCTTCGCATGTCGTAATACTGTTGATCCCACGAAACTCTCCTCCGGTTTTTTATATTTTCTATTTGCCTGCCACAAACAATGCACATTGTTTCCTTGGTTCTAGACGATTTAATACTTTTCTTTGTTATTTTGGTTGGAGTTTATGTATTTTTAGTGTTCATAACGTGAACAACCACTACCAACACATTCAGGAGGTCGGCCATTTAGAACAAATTTGCATACATTATGTTAATATAATTTATTTCGTGATGTCAGCACCAACTATGGATTATTCATATCAACTAGAAACCTGCAGACGGGGACAGTCTCTCGGGACTAAAGTTCTCGCGTTTCCCATCGACGTTTTGAAAGTCTAGGATACACAATTACATTAGGCCCGAGGTCTGTCTACACTCTAACTTGTTAGTATATACATGGAAGGTACTAACGTTAGTACCTACCATAGTATATCTATGACACCATTGAATCGATATTGTGAGCAAGGTGTTGTTTTTGCCTTAGCAGGAATATAACATAATTTTAGAAACACGTGGACAAAAGGAAAATGGGGGATGAAGGTCAAGACAAACTAACGCTAACATAGCGCAGAGTCTATTTGCTATTTTGAACTGAAAAATAACTTCTGTATTTATTAAGATGGAGAATAATACTTTCTACGTCGAATAGGGGCACAACATTGGATATCCTGGGGGGAGGGGGGGGGGCAAGGAAGATTGAAATGAAGCCTAATCTCCCCTATCTGATTTGGATTTATTTCCAGCAGAACTTGTCTCTAATTTTTTTCCCCTCAACAGTTGTTTTTATTATTTTTTCCCAGTATTTTAAGTAAAGTAGATGACTTGTATAATAGCGCTCTTTAACATCATGAAAGGTTTTTCTATCAGTCCACCTCCTGGATGTCTCCTCTCTTCCAAACCACGGTCTTCCAAACCAGGCTTCTAAACAGTACACTAAACTACTTGACATTTATTTACCGACCCACCTGAAAATAAATTCAGACCATTCTGGTAAAGGAGGAGAAGGACGCGTTTGCAGATGTCAAATGCCTGGCTGGAGAAGAATATCAGGCTCTGGCTGTTGAAAAAACTAATGCAAGTCCTCAGACAATCGAGTAAAAGAGTGCAGGACCCGAAAGGGCAGGAAATCTTAAATAAACCAGTGCTTAGGCACACAAACCAAACGGCTCTTTTCAGGGCCATCACATCCTCCCAAAAGAGAACTACCGTTAATACTATGAACTCTGTCCATACAATCAATATCACAAAACGCAATAGACACATAAGAAACACATTGCAAGATGCAAACGAATAAAGAAATACAATGCTCAAGCTCAGTTGGTCTCAAATTTTATTCGGAATTTTTTGAGTACAATTCTAACCCCAACAAAGGTCATTGCCCTTGGCAACGGATTCAAATTTATACCAACCCCACTTAAGCCAACCTATGAATGCATATCAAATATTTAATGCGCAATAAACAATCTCAACAACATCCTTTCAAAATGAAATCAACATGGAACCCACCAGACTCGCATAACAGTAGCCTCGAAAATTGCATTGAGGCAACCAAAGTTGAGATATCCAAAATCACTACCAATAAACCCAAACAAAACATGAATTCTGCCGAAAGCACCAGCAATAAATAGACTACATCATGATAACACAATTGTAGTAAAACCATTCGACAAAGGTCGTGGTATTGCAATCATGAATACAACTGACTATATATATATGAAAGCCTTCGTCAACTAAACAACGGGCAATGCTATACTAAAATTCGTGGTAACGATACCATAGTTACAACTAATTTGGTCCATGAGCTCGTTACAGAAATGTACAATCTGCAATTAATTGATTACGACACGTATAAATATACAGACCAATTTAACTACAAAGTTAGAACGCCCCGGTGGTATTTACTGCTCAAAGTACACAAACTACCACCAGAGGGCAGTACATTCGTCGGTAATCAGTCTGTGGTTGCTCTGGTCCGACAGAGAAAATATCAGAATTGATTGATCACTTTTAATTCCAATTGTTAAAGATACTACTGATTTTATTAACAAAATCGAAAAATAAAGTCCTAGTGACCATGAATGTCGTATCAATCTATACTAATGCTGTTCACGAAGAAGCGATCCCAGCAATGCAATGCAATCGAATTACAATCACAATGCCACTAATTTGGAATATATAATTAAACTCCTTAAAATCATTCTGAAAAGAAACACATTCGAGTTTTATAATGAATATTATACCCATACATGTGGAGTTAGCATGGGATCACCATCTTCACATGAGATGGCTGACATTACATTCCACCTGGAAAATCGAATTTTACAACTTCATGTTATTCAAAGGTACCGTACCTGAATTACACAAATTTGTTCAGGAAGCTAATATGCTTCAAAACAAATACCGGCTCACATTTGAATACTCTAATACACAAGTCACGTACCTGGACCTATATAAAGGACAACGCTTCCATGATCTGAATAAATTAGACGTGAAAACGCACACCAAGACAACGGAAACGTTTCAATATTTGAAACGTAATTCTTTTCACCCTACATGTCACGCTCGAACATGTATCTAAACGATTTCTATTTATTGAAAAAATGCGTGATAATGATATCGAAAAGATACTCTTCAATTAATGAACATTTACATGAATCAATGTCTAATAATGATGGGCAAACAATATTCACATCTACATTTATCTTTTATATACAAGGATCTAAGTTCAAAAGAGCCCTATTAAAAAACTGGGACTTAATTCGGAATGATCAGTTACTCTTCCCTTTATTGCATTTCGTAGAAATACTAACTTGAAAAGATAAACTTACAAGTTCTACTCTACGTACTGACAAACTCGTGAAAAACGACACACCAAACGACGAAGAATTACTTTCCATTTTAACTGAATTGTATAATGAAAGTAATAACATCGAAC